TGTGAAGAATGTCGTTGGGATTCTGATTGGGACTGCACTGAATCTGTAGATTGCTTTAGGTAGTATGGACATTTTAACTATGTTTATTCTTCCAATCCATGAGCATGGAACATCTTTCCATTTATGTCATCATCGATTTCTTTCAATAATGTCTTATAGTTTTCAGTGTATAGGTCTTTCACCTCCTCGGTTAAATTTATTCCTAGATATTTTATTATTTTCATTGTGATTGTAAATGGGATTGTATTCTTGAGTTCTCTTTCTGTTAGCTCATTATTAGAGTGCAAAGATGCAACTGATTTTTGTAAGTTGATTTTGTACTCTGCAACTTTGCTGTAGTTGTGGATTATTTCTAATAGTTTTCTGATAGATTCTTTAGGGTTTTCTATATGTTTCCTTTAGACATCTTCTAATCATGTCGTCTGCAAACAGTGGGAGTTTCACTTCTTCCTTTCCAATTTGGATGCCCTTTATTTCTTTTTCTTGCCTAATTGCTCTGACCAAAATCTCCAGTACTATGTTGAATAGGAGTGGTGAGAGTGCGCACCCTTATCTTGTTCCTGTTCTCAGAGCGTTGGCTTTCAGTTCTTCACTATTGAGTATGATGTTGGCTGTGGGTTTGTCATATATGGCCTTTATTATGTTGAGGTATGTTCCTTCTTTACCCATTTTATTGAGGATTTTTATCAGAAATGGATGTTAGACCTTGTGAAATGCTTTCTCTGAATCTATAGAGATGATCATGTGATTTTTCCTCATTTTGTTAATGTGGTGTATCACATTGATTGATATGCAGATGTTGAACCATCCCTGTGTCCCTGGTATAAATCCCACTTGATCATGGTGCATGATCCTTTTAATGTATTGCTGTATTCAGTGGCAAACTGTTGAGGATTTTTGCATCTATGTTCATTAGTGATATTGGCCTGTAATTTTCCTTCTTTGTGTTGTCCTTGACTGGCTTTGGGATCAGGGTGATATTTTCCTCCTAAAATGTGTTAGGAAATATTCCATC